AACAGCTTGATGTTTAAGATAACATCAGCTACTCCTGGATCCTTCATCTCAAATCAGCGAGATAAGAAATCCTTAACCTCTTTGATTAAATCAAGTTTGGTTCCAAATATCAATATGTCGTCGACATACAGACAAAGAATAACTCCTTCGCCCCCATCATAGCGATAGTACACGCACTTGTCACCGTCGTTTACTACAAAGCCGACAGCAGTTAATGTTCTTTCGAACTTCTCATGCCACTCCTTAGGAGCTTGTTTAAGGCCATATAAAGACTTTAATAACTTGCACACCTTTCCTTCCTGACCAGGTACTACAAAATCATCTGGCTGATCCATGTAAATTTCCTCCTTCAACTCTCCATTGAGGAAAGCTGTCTTAATGTCCATTTGATGAACGAGAAGACCATGTGAGGCAGCCAGTGATAGTAGCACCCGAATTGTGGTCAGTCTAGCCACGGGTGAGTAAGTATCAAAGAAGTCTTCACCTTCTTTCTAGGTATAACCCTTGGCCACATGCCGTGCCTTGTACTTTTCAATCGTACCATCAGGTCTAAGCTTCTTCTTGAACACCCACTTACATCCTACAGGTTTGCACCCATAAGGACGGTCAGTGATCTCCCAGGTACCGTTAGCTAAGATAGAATCCATCTCGCTACGTACAACTTCCTTCCAGTAGTCAGCATCAGGAGATGCATAGGCTTCTGAAATAGTCCTGGGTGTGTCATCCACGAGGTACACAATGAAATCATCACCAAAGGACTTTGCAGTCCTCTCTCTCTTACTCCTCACAGGAGTTCCATTGTCACCCTCAACATGATTCTCAACGTGTTCCATCGCAATGGTGGGTTCAGGAATTACAGTGAATTCCTCACTAGATGGAGTAGGTATCTCCTGATTTGATGAACTCGACATATCCTTCATAGGAAATATGTCCTCAAATAAAGTTGCATCATTTGACTCCATAATCGTACCAACATGCATGTCGGACACCTCAGATTTTATTATCAAAAATCTATAGCCGATGCTATGAAAAGCATAGCCCAGAAGAACACAATCCACGATTTTTGGTCCAAGCTTGCACTTCTTGGGAATTGGTATATTGATTTTTGCCAAACAACCCCAAGTACGTAGGTAAGAGAGTTTCAACCTTTTCCTTTCCCATTCCTCAAATGGAGTCATGGTCTTATGCTTTGTGGGAACCGGGTTTAGGACATGACACGCAGTCATTAGCGCCTCCCCCCACCATTCCTTGGATAGATCCGAAGTGTCTAACATGGTGTTAACCATATCAGCTAGAGTTCGGTTCTTTCTTTCGGCTACCCCATTTGACTGGGGTGAGTAGGGAGGCATCCTCTCATGGATTATACCATGTTCCGCACAAAACAGATCAAATTCATTGGAAAAATACTCTCCACCATGATCGGACCTAAGCCGTTTAATTTTTCGATCAAGTTGGTTCTCTGCCTCAGCTTTATAGTTTTTGAAGAAAGTCAAAGCCTCATCTTTTGATTTCAGAAGATACACATAACAATATCTAGTGGAGTCATCAATCAACGTCATGAAGTATCTCTTTCCACCTTTTGTCAACACGCCATTCATCTCACAAAGATCAGAATGTATAAGCTCTAGTGGCACCAAGTCTCTTGCCTCTGCAGTCTTATGGGACTTGCGAGGTTGCTTAGCTTGCACACATACTTGGCACTTAGAGCCCTTGACAGGAGAGATTTTCGGAATTAAATTCATATTGGCTAGCCGCGTCATGCATCCAAAGTTAATATGACAAAGTCGTGAATGCCAAATATCAGACTCATTATTGTGGCAAACATTATTAATAACTTTAGTGCAAATATCTGACAAAGATAGGCGGAACAAGCCTCCGCACTCATAGCCTTTTCCAACAAATTGTCCACACTTAGAAATTACAACTTTATTGGATTCAAAAACCAACTTAAAACCATCTCGACATAAACAGGAACCGCTAACGAGATTTTTATTGATGGACGACACATGATGAACGTTCTTCAGACGCACGGTCTTCCCCGAAGTAAACTTCAGATCGACCGTACCAACACCTCGAACGATGGCATGTGACCCATTCCCCATCAGCACGGGAGAAGTCCCAGTGGCCTGGTAAGAAGAAAACATGGAGGCGTCAGCACAAACATGTACATTGGCACCGGTGTCAATTAACCAATCAGGGGATTGAAATACTGAAAGGATGGTAGGAAAAATACCGTACCCTGATTCCTTCATATCAGTATCACCGATGACGACATTGGCGGACTTGCCGCTCTTCTCATGTTCGCGCTCCTCAAAGCGGTTAGGACACTTCGGAGCCCAGTGATTAGGATCACCGCAGACATGGCAAAGTCCCTTCCCCTTATGAGAATTCTTCTTGAAGTTGGTAGAATGTGATGGCTTGTTCTTTGTATCAAACTTGCCTTTGCCCTGAGTTTTGTTCTTGTTGTTTTTGAACTTGTTGGGCTGGAAGTTCTTCTTCTGTACCATGTGGGCACTAGAACCTCCCTCAGCAACTCAAGCACGTGTGTCCTTTGCTCTCGCCTTCTCTTCAACATCAAGAGTACCAATGAGATCCGCAACGGAAAACTCCTGTCTCTTGTGTTTCAGGGAAGTAGCAAAATTGTTCCACGAAGGTGGAAGCTTGGCAATGATGCCCCCGGCAACAAATTTGTCCGGCAACACACACTTGAAGTACTCAAGTTCTTTTGCAAGCGACTGTATCTCATGAGCCTGCTGTACAACAGCGCGCTCATCAGTCATCTTGTAGTCATAGAATTGCTCCACGACGTACAACTCACTGCCGGCGTCCGAGGCACCAAACTTGGCCTCGAGCGCAGCCCACATGTCCTTACCGTTGTCAAACAACATATACGAATCCACAATTGAGTCATCAAAAACACTCAGAAGAGCGCCTTTAAAGAGGGTATCGATCTTCTCAAAAGCTTCCAGCTGTGCTGGATTAAGATCGCCCTCAGGCTTGCCCTTGGTGGCGTCATAGCAGCCCATGGTCTGAAACCAGTAGACTGCTCTCGTGCGCCACCTCTTATATTGCGCCCCCTTAAAGGCAGGCGGCTTCAGATGCGCAGCAAAACCACTCGGAGTAAATTGCCTATAATCAGGTTTTTGGATTGTTGGAAATATGAGCAAATTACTACGAGATTTAATCCGAATAAATAGAAGATAAATCATGACTACAGCAACAGAGATTAAACTAATCATGTGAACTAGCATAGCAGATGAACAGATCACATCTAGGGCACATACTAGAAACATGAATTCTACCACGATCTCGAACAGGAAGAATAGAATCACATACGGTGCAGCGGGAGCAACACCGCCGGCGTTGACGTTGTCACCCATGTCGTCGAGGACGAGGTTGCCGAGGTCGGGGAAGAAGTCGTCGTTCGCGAAGTCGTCGCTGCCAGCAGTCGCGCGAGTGCGCTCCTCAAAAACCTGATCGCCCCTCTCCCGTACAGGATCACGAGAGGCGGGGTTCCAGAGGCCTGCTGTCCCTTCTCCCGGTGCACGCCGAAAGGAGGGATGGAGAAGACTTGCTTGGTGGCGCAATGATCTGGAACGATGGTGAGAAACCATACGAAGCGGCGGCGGTTAGGGTAGACGTCTGCCTGACTATATAGTGCAGGCCGGGTAGGTCGTGGGAATAAACCCCACGTCCGAGTCGTCACGATCCAAAAGAATCGAAAACGGTTCAGTAATTAACGCGTCCATTAATTATTAATTAATGACTCATTAATTTTCCAGAGCAGCAAAAATATAGACAACGTGCATAGCTCTGTCCTCGGCTCGGCTCAATCCCGCAACCCGCGGCGCGGCGCGTCGTGACGAGGCGTGGCGAGAGCGAGGAGGAGGAGCGCGCGTATAGGTCTTCTCTTCTCATGCTCATACAAGTAGTAGAAGAGCTCACCTTATAAAGAGGTGCAACTCTCTCTCAACTTCCGGGGTGGGACTAAACTTTAGCCTCACTCACTCCACTCACATGTGTGCATGAATGGGCCAAGAGAATTTCAGAATTTTAGTTGGGCTTTGGGCCAAAGGCCTACTAGCAAAATTCCAACAGTTTATCAGCTGGCAAGCCCGGCATACGGACGTGCGGGTATTGAACGAGTGTGGTAGATATCCACTCCATCCCATCAAGTAAACGTCTCTCTGGCAATAAACATGCGCGGATACCAAGGACGCTGTTCTAGTGAGAGGCCATGCCCGCTCTAGGCCGGCGTCAATGCAGAGCGGCCGCTACACAGCGGCATGAATGCGGGCAGCTGACGTCGGGCGAAAAAGCATGCGGGGAAGGCGGATGGTCTTGGATGGGACAGGGGCGTGGCAGCGTTCTGGACACTCGCAAAGTCCCTCACTTCGTTCCCAGTTTGCGGAAAAAAGTAAGTCCGGACCGCTCAGCTGTGCGACACAGTATCGTGTTGGATGACAAGAAACGTCCGAACTGTGTGGACGGTTTGAGAGTCGGCGTTGAAGATGCCCTAAATTCATGGTGCTTTGCCGAGTAGTTTTTTTTGCCCTTTGCCAAGTATTTTGAATAGCCCTTTGAATACTCGGCATACTTTTCTGGCTGGGATGCTAGTAGTCTGTTTGTCCGTTGCATCCTTGCATGGACCGGTGAGGAGCCGGGGTAACGCTGCATTTGGCGTAGACGATGGGTCATGCGCGTCTCCATCCATCAGCCGGCCGCACTGTCCCCCTCGCTGAAAACTTCAAGGCGCGCCATTTCATCGGTTTCTCCATCCACGCCCGTTCCACGCTTGTCCATTTCATTTCACGGGTCATGCGATGCGTATGCCGCGCGACTTCGCTCCATTTATCAGCGTCACGCCTCCACACGCGCCGGCCCCCGCTCCCCGTTTACCCTTCGCCTAGCTACCACTACTTCACTCGTCGTGTGTGACCACCCCTTACATTCTGCACCACTCCACGACGATCGTCTTGCGAGCGGGAGAGGCTACGACGATGAGCACCGGCAAGGCGCCCACGCTCTACCATATGCGCGCTCGATCGCTTACGAGCAAGCTGCTCGACCTCGACTCCTCGCCGGCGTGCCCGTCCCCGCCGCCGTTCCGGTCACACGTCACGGTGCCGTTTCTCTGGGAGGACGCGCCGGGGAAACCCAAGCTGCGTGCAGCCCGGCCAAGCGCTCTGTTGCTCCCTTCCGCTGCAACCGCGACCGCGAGCCCAGTCGTTCTTGCGGACGGCGGCCCGACTGCCAGAGTGGCCGGCGGTCACGAGGACGGTGCCCCTGCCCATGCGCGCCCCGTGCTGCTGAAGCTGAAGCTGCCGCCGCGGCTGCAAGCGGCGGAGCACCCGCTCTCCTCCCCCAAGACCGTGCTCCAGGGCCCCTACTTCGGCGGCGGAAACAAGCCGCCGAGGCCGCTTAGGAGGATCGCGAGGACAGCAAGCTGTCAGATGAGTCTGCGCGGCGGCGGGGGCCTGTTTGTTTGGAGGAAGGGCGCGGCAACCGCAACGGCATCAGCGGGCAGCAAGGAGGGCGGCCACTGTCAGCTCTACGCCGTGGCGCCGGACGGGTCATGCCTCTCGCCGGCGGCGTCGTCGGCGTCCTCGTCGTCGTCTTCGTCCATGTCCTACTTCTTTGATGACAACAGCCGCAGGCAAGCCGATGGGCGCGAGGACTCGGAGGATGGCGAGGTAGGTGACGACGGCCGCAAGGGGTCGGTGAGGATCACCAGGTTTCGGAGGAACCGAAGCCTTCCCACTATGTCCAGATCGCATCTCTGGGTGAGTTCTCTTCTCTATTCTCTCTGCTCTGTTTCTTCCTAGGACAGAGTTTGCACTCCTCTACTGTAGCTATTACTTTTGGTTATATGAAAAAAATAACAAGTAAAAAACGAAAGTCCTATTCCGACCCCGAGCTCAAATGCATGTTTTAAGCAAACTATTTTTGTGCATGTTACCATTTCCTAAACAACAGAACACACACACACACACACACACACACACACACACACCAACAATCTAATCTGGTAGAAAAGTTTCTGAAGTTCATTCTGTATGCGGTCTCCATGACATGGGCACATTATCAATTTTGAAAATTTGGATCTTACTCCCAAATCGAGTCTCGAGCGAACATCCGCCCATCCCCCCTACTGCTATTTTAGTCACTCTCGAGCTATCTGCTGCACTGAAAATTCACAATTTTCTCAGGAATCTAGAAGAATAGAAGTGCACAAAAGGCTGAAATTAAACTAAATTTGGTGCACACCTGTTCTTATCAGTTATTTCACATCACATACGCATGCAAATAAAATAATGCAAAAATGTTTCTGCTGGCAGGCCAACATCCGCAAGGGCGTCAAGCAGATTAGTCCATGGAGCTACAAGCCTACATAGAGGGAGTATCACTGTATGGCTGACAGATAAAGTATCGCTAAAAATGCAGCTGCTTTATGCGCCGCAACATGTTGCCAATTTAATGCAACAAAGGTAGCAACCATGTATGCGCTTTATATGTATAATGATGTACCTAATGCAAATTTAACGCAATAAAGGTAGCAATATTGTATGTGCGGTTGCAGTTAACGATATCAGAGCAAGGCTAATAGTGTACGGATCTAGGATTTTTATCATTACTTGTATTTGGCGTTAAATGGACTTTTATCGCAAATAAAGGGATACGTCAATTTATGGTCACGCCAAAGATATGTCAAGCTTTGCTTTCATATATAGGCAGAGGCTTTGCTGCCATCCCTTTATTATGCTGGAATATTTTGCTTCTACGTTTGGCTAAATGTTAAGCTTTGCTTTCTTATGGCTGGATGCCAAGTATATGTGATGTTGAGGGAATAGCTAAACTTTTGTATTGGATCCCTCCTGAGTCCTACATGGCAGTCGCTGGATGGTCAACAAAGGGCAAACGAAGTCAACACAAGTCCAAGCAAGCTACCGCGGGTCCAGGCAAACCACCCCGGTGAACAAAAGTCCAAACAAGTAAAAATAGGAAGAGAAAATAAAAGACCAAGTAAAAATAGGAAGAGTGAATAAAAGACCATGTCAAAATGGGAAGAGAGTATAAAAGAACAAGTGAAAGCTGAAGGCAAAGAAGCAAAGAAGACCAAGCTCAAGAAGAAAACATTGATATGATGAAAAAATTACCCCCATGGCCAGGGGTGGAGCCAGGATTTGAGTATAGGGGGAGGGGGGCAAGTTCAACGACGGAGCTACGGTTTCAACATAGGGGCCAATGCAAATAAAAACAATTTTGCTTTTATATAATAATTTACCACTTCGACGCTATATAAAATGGTAAAAATATCTACCACAATACTATAAAAAATTATCACTTAGGAGTTGTAGAACATGTTTTATTTGTATAAGTTTAAATCTGACTCTACGATGTCAGTAAAATAAAAAGGAAAAGTAGTTTCATCGGAAGAGAATTTAGCTGCTAAACCTTATTTCCATATGGATTATCATGCAATGACAAAGCGAAGTCGTCTTCCATCAAACGATGCATCAAAATGAAATAATTTTTACGGTGTTTGACGACATTTTCTCTTTATAACCGCTGATCTACAATTTTCAGAATTGGCGTCATACATCACACAAGCAAAAGAGCAAAAATCTGTTTATATAATTTTGCCATATACAGTACAAGATGAGAATTGAAAATAATAATACAATAATTGATTGCGCTATCGCTAACTGCTTGCGTTAATCACGGTAGCGTCTAACTTTTTTTTGAGACAATCACGGCAGAGTCTAACTACACACGATTCACAAAAAAGTCTCTAAGTACGCTAGGGCCTATGAGACTTAGTAGAGGCCGGTAGGCATCTCATGGGCCTATTCTTTTTCCTGTTTTTATACTTGAGACAAGGAGGGTTCAGTACGTGGCTTCTC